GATGGCCACAATGGTCAAGGCTAGGCCAGACTGAAGTCATGATAGGATCTTTATCTAGTGAGTAAATCTGACACCCAATAAACTTTTTTTTTTAAAAATCTACCAATTATAGTATTATAAAAAAGCAGGGAATTATGATAAAGGAGTAACAGCAATACTGTAGATAGAAGGTTCCAGGAAGACGACATCTGAATCTCACTAAGGATAAAAAGGAATTACAGACAGCAGGTGACGAGCACACTAAGTGGTGGTAGAACAGTCAGCAGGTCAAGGGAGTGAGCAATGTCAGGGCTGGGGCTGAAAAGACTGGGCTAGATCAGGAAGGATGCTGAAGTCAGAGTCAAGTTTTATTTTAGGTGTAGATTTCATTCCATGTACAGCACCGAATCAGAACTCTATGAAAGGTTTATAAGTAGGAGCTGTGGCATAATCTTTCTCTGACAGGAAAAAAAAGAATCAAGTCTAGCTACTAGGTGGAGGAGCTAGAATTAAAATAGATATCAGGGCCGGCGCCACAGCATAGTAGGTTAATCCTCTGCCTGCAGTGCTGGCATCCCATATGGGTGCCGGTTCAAGTCCCAGCTGCTCCTCTTGCAATCCAGCTTTCTGCCATGGCCTGAGAAAGCAGTAGAAGATGGCCCAAATCCTTGGGACCCTGCATACACGTGGGAGATCTGGAAGAAGCTCCTGGCTCAGCTCCAGCCATTAGGGCCATTTGGGGAGTGAAGCAGCAGATGGAAGACCTTTCTGTCTCTCCCTCTCTTTGTCTATAACTCACACCTCTCAAATAAATAAAACAAATCTTTAAAAAAGAGAGAGAGAGATATAATTTAGAAAGCTATTGCAGTAGTTCAGGTGACAGAATAATTGAAGTTTAGACCAGAGAAGGCAGTGAAGAAAGACAAACTACCTTTATGGGGGTGTGGGGGGAGACAAGGCCCTCACCTAATTTAATCACAAGTTCTAGGCAACAGGAGCCATTAATATTCGTTATTTCTAGTGTGTATATACTGAAGAAAATGTCAACTAAGCCTAGAGGGGCTGACTTAGCACTCTGTTTACTTCCTACCCACTCTGGTGTTTTTATAAACACTTGATATGGGGCCAGTGCTGTGGCGCAGCGGGTTAACTCCCTGGCCTGAATTGCCGGCACGCCATATGGGCTGCGGTTCAAGACCCGGCTGCTCCACTTCCTATCTGCTCTCTGCTGTGGCCTGGGAAAGCAGTGGAGGATGGCCCAAGTCCTTGGGACCCTGTACTCGCGTGGGGGACCTGGAAGAAGCTCCAGGGTCCTGGCTTCAGATTGGCGCAGCTCTGGTCATGCGGCCAATTGGGGAGTGAACCATCGGATGGAAGACCTCTCTCTCTCTGCCTCTCCTCTCTCTGCGTGTAACTCTGACTTTCAAATAAATGAATATATCTTTAAAAAAAAAATAAACATTTGATTAGTGTACTCTATGCTATGGTTTTAGTGCCAGTTCCTACCAAAACTCACACTGAAATTCAAATGCCATTGGGGCAAGTGTCATGGTACCAACAGGTTAAGCCACCATTTGGGACACCTGCATCCCCTAAGTTGAAAGAGTTATGGATAGAAGCAGAGCCAGAGAGAGGTCTTCCATTCTGCTGGTGCACTCCCCCAAACCACCGCAACAGCCAGAGCTGAGCTGAGCAGGAGCTTCTTCCGGGCCTCCCAGGCGGGTGCAGGGGCCCAAGAGTTGCGCCATCTTCTGCTGCTTTCCCAGGCCATAGCAGAGAGCTGGATCAGAAGTGGAGCAGCCAAGACTCAAACTGGCGCCCATATGGGATGCTGGCACTGCAGGCTGAGGCCTTAACCTGCTGTGCCACAGTGCTGGCCCTGAGAAGTACAGATTTAATGAAATTTGCATAAATAATAGAATAGTTAGGGAGTAGACATTTGGGATCAGTATTAGTATTGCAGATTAGAGGAGAGTGTACAGAATTGAAGATACTTTCTTTTTTTCTTGAGAGACCAAGACACTGATGCAGGTGTTAGAATTAGGAGGAGGCCGGCGCCATGGCTCACTTAGCTAATCCTCTCTCTGGCTCTACTTCTATCCATAACTCTTTCAAAGAAATAAAATAATTGTTAAAAAAATTCTGTACTTCTAAAAATCTTCAATGTCTTCCAACCATCCAATGACCAACCATGGCAGCTTCAAGGAATCAAGTGGCCTTTGCAGTATCAACTTCCACCACTGCCACATAGCCTGGAAGGCTGGCCTCCCCGTCTCTTAGTGGACTTCTGTATCCTTGAAACATTCTGAATATCTGTTACCATGTGTTCTCTGAAATTCAAGTGACTCTCTACCACAAGTCCAACGTGACTGCTCCTCTCTCAAATGTCACTGTACAGCAGGTATGCAGGTGCCTGACAGTCTTCTTGTGACTGATATGCTTATACATATGGGGAGCAGAAGCGTAATCAGATGGATTCCTGATAGCTGTTGAGAAGATTTTTTTAAAATGAGAGGTGAACACTGGAAAGTCTTTTCTTCCTGGAACCAATGACAGACACAATGCTTAATTATAAATTAGAAAACAAGATGGTCGGGGCTGGTGCTGTGGCGCAGCGGGTTAACACCCTGGCCTGAAGCGCCGGCATCCCATATGGGCGCCAGTTCTAGTCCTGGCTTCCCTTCCGGCTTTCTGCTTTGGCCTGGGAAGGAAGTGGAAGATGGCCTAAGTCCTTGGGCCCCCACACCCACATGGGAGACCCAGAAGAGGCTCCTGGCTTCGGATTGGCGCAGCTCTGACTGTTGCGGCCTTTTGGGGAGGGAACCATCAGATGGAAGACTTCTCTCTCTCTACCTCTCTCAGTAACTCTTTCAAATAAATAAATCTTAAAAAAATAAAATAAAACAACATGGTCAAGTTACCAGGGAAACTAGAGAATGCTGATGGGGTTGAAGGAAGAGGGGATTCATTCCAGATTAAAGAGATCAAACAGTATTTAATCACACTTCGTTGTTTGCTATGATCTAAACATAAGTTATGAACCCAAGTTCCACTCTCATTGTAGCTTACTATCTACTAAGGAAGCAAATAGAACAAACAAGTAATAATATCAGACAAGTGAGATGTGCCATGGGTAAAACTAAAATGGTGGGGATGGGGGAGAGGGGAGGTGTTGTGGTGCCACAGGTTAAGCTGCAGCATGCTGTGCCAGCATCCCATGTGGGCACTGGCTGGTTCAAGTCCTGGCTGCTCCACTTCAATCCAGCTCCCTGTTAACGTGCCTGGAAAGCAGCAGAAGTTGGGTCATGTGCTTGAGCACCTGCCACCCACATGGGAGACCCAAATGAAGTTCCTGGCTCTGACCCGGCCCAGCCCCAGCCATTGTAGCCATCTGGGAGAGTGAACCAGTGGTTGGAATATCTCTGTGTCTCTCTGAAACTCTGATTTCTGAATAAATAAATAAATCTTTAAAAAAAAAAAAAAAAAAACACCTCTCGAAAGACAATGATGTAGTTCTCTGAAAGTGGAGGCATGATTTCTGAAGGTTAACTGTTCAGGCCCAAAAAGGAAACACAGACAGGCTCCAAGTTACATGTAGGCCACATCCCAAAGATTTATAGTGAAGATGTTAGAAATTATAAAACATTTCCTCCATTGCAGAAATCCAATTTCCAGGCTGGTCCGCGGAGATCCATATAACCATAGCCGTTACCATTATAGTAACTGATACAGTACTTACCATGTATCAGGTCTCCCTTTAAGTGCTTTACGACCTTGAGCAATACTCCTCATTACACTATGATCACTCCCACTGTACAGCTAAGCAAACTGAGGATGGAGGTTAAATGACCCGTTCAGCGGCATGGGGCAATAACTTAACGGTCTGTACAATGCAGACCAGGCATACTCCAGGTCCTTTGCTTTCAGTTCTTATGTTAGCTCCTGAATGACCTCTATTTATAAGCACCAGTCTTTCAAAACCCGTTTTTCTCCAATGCCAAAACCTCAGCACCTACTTTCTTTTCTCTGGTGGTTAGAATATTACTCAAATTAATATCTCACTTCCAACAGCACTCACCCCAAACTCCCAACACACCTCGTACCCTCCAAAACACTAAAGCTCTTCACATCTAAATATGGATGGCTACTGATCACCAGGAGTGATCCCACGTGGGACAACACACAGCTGGCCGAGTTTAACGAGAGGATATCACTCGGCTCCCGTAGCAGCCTTCAAAGCCCTCCTCAGCTTCTCTGACCGTGGGTCGCTCAACTGCAGAAAAGCCAGTTAGAGGTGGCGAAGGCAGGAATCAGGCCGGAAGCAAGCCATGCCGGCGGCCATGACCTTCTGCAGGCGCTCAGTACTGTCGCCTGAAAACCCTGCACGAAAACCACGATCGGGAGCCCCGGGACGCTTGGTCCGGGGGCGGCGAGGAGCGTGGAGTTAACACAGGTGAGACCTGGCCCCCGACAGCCCCGACCACCCCGGGGGGACCCCAACACTACAGCCTGGCCAGAAGGGCCGACGCACTCACCCTGCGATCGGCCCAGAGCGAGCGGCGGGCAGACAGGGGACGGCGTGCGGCAGGCCAGAGCAGCCCGCTAGCAGACGCAGGGAGAGCGGGAGGCGGGCGGCCCTGCCGGCGCGGAGAAGCCAGCGAGCGGGTCTCAGCAGGGCTGCCATGGCTTGGCTGTCCCCACGGCGGGATGCACGTTCCTCAGAAGGACAGGAGGAGCACGTGACGGCGGGGTCGACCGGCGCGGGACGAACCAAAGAGCCGGCGCGCCAGGCGTAGGGGGAGGCCGTGGTTGTTTGGGATTGCAAAACGGGAAAACCTATTTGTGTGAAGAAATAGTTGGCCCTATTCGGCATGGAGGTGAAAAATATTGTTTCATTTGTGGCGGAAGGGGACTCTTTTTTTCCCCCTAGTCCCCCGCTCTCAGCATGGTCTGGAACTCCACCCCTGCACTTTTCAGTTGGTAGAGTCTCAAGAGGTCGACTCCTCCCAGGTGAGCGCAGAGGCTTGCGGGGGGCCAACTAGCAACAACGCCTGGGACGCTGGGAAAGAGCCGACCGTAAAGATCCCGAAGTGTGGGACAATTTCTCTGTCGAGCGCGGCTGTCGCTGGATGACGTTCAACTGTGCCGGCTCGGCGCCGCCGCCGTCGCGCTCCCTCAGAGGAACGAGCCCCCGCCGTCAGTCGTGCGGGCCGGGGAGAACGTTGAGACCCTCTGCCCCATGCTCTGCCCCCCACCCCCAGGTTAAATACGCTGAGACTCGTACTACTGGGGCCTGGAGCCCGTGTTCCGGAATACGCGGTGCTTCGCTTTAGGAAAGGGATGCTCACAAAGGTCGTAGAGTTTAAAGCTGGCAACTCCCGCCCTTCCCCCACCGCCCCTTCAGTAAGTGCACCTGTCGTGATGAAGCGTCTGCACTGGGGTCTCCAGAGAGACAAACTGGCACAGAACGGGGCGTGGCCTCGCCCCGGCTTCCAAGCCTGCAGGCAGACTCGGGGGGCGTGCCGTGCACGTGGGGAGCGGGCCCACACCCTCGGGTCGGCCCCCTGGAAGCCTCGCGTGGCAGGTGATCCCGGTGGACGACGAGAACCGGCACTGTGACCCCTCACGGTCGCCGAAGCACCTCCCCCGTGCCAGGCACACAATAGGTTGTGTTAAGTGTATGCTGAGTTAATGCGTATGTTGACCTATGAGCTAGCTCACCTCTGAGGAATGAGGGGGCTGAGGGTAAGTGACAGTCTGGGTCGTGCTTCTAGGCCTTGGGAATATAATTTATTATTCATTCATCCCTTCTTTCCTGGCAGTCAGTGCCAGGCGCTACTGCAGAGTCTAGGGGTACAGCAGCGAACGACTGGAGTTTAGTTAGGGCAGGTAAGTAGGGGTAACCGGCTGGAGAGAGGCCTGGGCTGCGGCAGAGTGGCAGTTAGTTGCTGTTTTAGGTAGGATGGCCAGAGAAGAAAAACAGTCTCTTCAAAGAGTCACCATTTGGGGGCGGACATTCTGCACAGCTGGTTTCAGAGGGCTTGGCTTTGAGTTGGGTTCTGATTCAGATTCCAGCTTCCTACTACTGTGCACCCCGGGAAGCAGCCATGGTGGCCCAAGGCTGGGGTCCCTGCTACCCACGTGGGAGATCATCCAGATTGAGTTCTGAGCTCCTGACTGGCCTGACCCAGCACTTGCCCCTACCGTCGTAGGCATTTGGGAAGTGAACCTCTCTCTTCCTCCACCACCCCCTCCCCCTCTTTTGAATAAAATTTAAAAATAATTTTTTTTGACAGGCAGAGTTAGACAGTGAGAGAGAGAGAGAGAGACAGAGGGAAAGGTCTTCCTTCTGTTGGTTCACCCCCTAAATGGCCACTACGGCCGGCACACTACGGCCGGTGTGCTGTGCGATCCGAAGCCAGGAGTCAGGTGCTTCCTCTGGGCCACAGCAGAGAGCTGGAGTGGAAGAGGAGCAACCAGGACTAGAACCCAGGGTGCCGGCGCCTCAGGCTGAAGATTAGCCTAGTGAGCCGCGGTGCCAGCCAAAATTAAAAAATTTTTAAAATACCAAACCCTGAGGCAAATTCCAAACCCTGAGGCAAGTAACAAAACCCTGAGGCAAAAACAGATGTATCCCACTCAAGGCACAGTGAGGAGGGAGGCGGGGTCAGAGAGCAGTTTGGAATCCAGACCATGCAGGGTGTCAGAGGAAGCCTTGGAGAATTTGACTTTTATTTAGAATGAGATAGGAAACCATTGGGAAGTTGGGTATGTTGCTGTGGTATGAATCCCATTGTATTTTTTTAAATTTTATTTGTTATTTGAGAGGCAGAGTTACAGTGATAGGGAGAGACAGACTGAAAGGTCTTCCATCCACTGGTTCACTCCCCAAATGGCCACAATGGCCGGAGCTGCACAGATCCGAAGCCAGGAGCCAGGAACTTCCTCTGGGTCTCCCCTGCAGGTGCAGGGGCCCAAGGACTTGGGCCATCTTCTACTGCGTTCCCAGGCCATAGCAGAGAGCTGGATCGGAAGAGGAGCAGCCGGGATTAGAACCAGCAACCATATGAGATGCCAGCGCTGCAGGCAGAGGATTAATCTACTGCACCCCAGCGCTGGCGCCTCCAGCTGCATTTATTTTTTATTATTTTTATTTTTTGACAGGCAGAGTGGACAGTGAGAGAGAGAGACAGCGAGAAAGGTCTTCCTTTGCCATTGGTTCACCCTCCAATGGCCGTGGTGGCCGGCGCGCTGTGGCCGGCGCACCACGCTGATCCGATGGCAGGAGCCACCAGGTGCTTCTCCTGGTCTCCCATGGGGTGCAGGGCCCAAGCACTTGGGCCATCCTCACTGCACTCCCTGGCCACAGCAGAGAGCTGGCCTGGAAGAGGGGCAACCGGGACTAGAACCTGGTGTGCCGGCGCCGCAAGGCGGAGGATTAGCCTATTGAGCCACGGCGCCAGCCCAGTTGCATTTTTAAGGAGTCACTCTGGTTGCCATTTGGGCAGATTTTTAAGGAAAGAAGAGTAAATAAAAGGGGGAGTGGAAAAGAGGCTCATGCAGTAACTCAGACTGGAGATTGCAGCGACTTGCACGAGGAGGTGGCAGGTGAGACAGTGAGGAAGAGTCAGGTTCTCACTCACATATGGAGACCCATGTGGGTAGCAGGGGGCAAACACTTTGGTCATCTGCTGCTTTCCCAGGCACATTAGGAGAGCTGGATTGGAAGTGGAGCGGCTGGGACCTGAACAGTCTAGTGTTGCAGGTGGTGGCTTAGCCCACCGTGCCACAATGCTGACCTCATTGCTTGCTGTCTTTATAGCAACTCACTCTCTCTCAAGAATTAAGTCACTCTACAAGACTAGCAATCATCTCTTTGAGGGTGATGCACTATGCCCCTCCTCTCATAGCTTCCACTACCTCTCAACATCACCACACTATGGACCAAGCGTTGAGTTCCTGAACCTTTGGGGGACTCGCTCAAACCATAGCATGTCTTAGATGACTAACTCAGGCATTCAGTTAAGTAATCAGCGTATGCAAAGTGCCTGGCAGAATCCATTTCATGGCAGAGGAGTTATGTGTACTACACTTAATGGGCTTAGTTTACAGGGAAGGATAAGGCATGCATATTGCACACAGATAACCATTACCTGAGGTCAATGTTGAGACCTACAAGAGGCAAACCAGATGACAGCTGGGTGGGACAGCAAAAGGAGTCCCATGGTAGGAATGGCATTTTAGCTTGGAGGCTGGGGAAGTCCTAGACTAGCATAGATGGTCAAGATGGAAGTTCCAGGCAGAAGGGACAGCAGGAGCAAGGATACACAATTCCCCTCCCTGCACTATACATTGCTCCTTAAACTGTGGATAGTGTGGTTTGGACACAGAAGTCCCAGAGCTTTTCAAGTAAAGGAGAAAATCACTAACCCAGTGGCTTGCAAACTTCTATGGCTGTAATAAGTAGTAAAAAATAGATTGTATACCTGACACCAATGCACGCATCTAAAAGGATACCTCACAAAATAATAACTGGCCTTACCCAATGTGTTGCCCTTGGATATTGTTCATCTATTTTCTTTTATTTGAATTTTTAAAAACGCTTATTTATTTGAAAGGCAGAGTTACAGAGGGAGAGGGAGAGACAGATCTTCCATCCGCTTGTTCACTCCCCCAAATGATTGCAACAGCCAGGACTAGGCCAGACTGTAGCCAGGAGCCTTGAATTCCTTCTGGGCCTCCCCTGTGGGTAACAAGGGTCCAATGACTTGGACCATCTTTTGTTGCCTTCACATGTGCATTAGCAGGGAGCTGGATGTGAAGTGGAGCAGCTGGGACTTGAACTAGCACCCACATAGGATGCTGGCATTGCAGGCAGCAGTTTAACCTGCTGTGCCACAATGCCGGCCCCGGCCCTGCCTTTTGTTAGTTTTTTTTTTTTTTTTAATTCATTTGAAAGGCAAAGTTAGAGAGAGGGGAAGAGAGGGGGGTGGATAGAGGGGAGGGAGAGGGAGGAGGGGGGGAGGGAGTGAGAGGAGAAGAGGAGGAGAGGGGAAGAGGGGGGAAAGGGAGAGAGGGAGGTGGGGAGAGATGGGGCTATGCCACACCACCAGCCCCCTGTTTGATTTTTTTTAATGATTTATTTATTTGAGAGGCAAACAGACAGCTCCCATCTTCTGATGTACTCCCCAAACAGCCACAATGGCCAGAGCAGAGCCATAGCCAAAGCTGGGAACTAGAACTCAATCCAAGTCTCCCTTGTGTGTGGCAGGGACCCAATTCCTTGAGCCATCACTGTTGCCTCCCAGGGCTCAGCCTAACAGGAAGTTGCAGTCAAGAGCCAAAGCCAGGTGTTTAACCCACATACTCTGACATGGGATACAGACATCTTTTTAAAGATTTTTTTAAAATTTATTTATTTGAGAGCTAGAGTTACAGAGAGAGAATCTTCCATCTGCTGGTTCACTCCCCAAATGGCCACAGTGGCCTGGAGCTGAGCCAATCCAAAGCCAGGAGCTTCTTCCCGGTCTCCCACTTGGGTACAAGGGCCCAAGTATTTGGGCCATCTTCTTCTGCTTTCTCAGAGCATAGCAGAGAGCTGGATCAGAAGAGGAGCAACCGGGAGTAGAACTGGCACCCATATGGGATGCCAGTGCTGCAGGCAGAGGATTAACCTGCGTCACAGTGCTGGCCCCAGGATGCAGTCATCTTCACCAACATCATAACCACTAGGTAAAGATCTGGCCCTCTTTCATTTTTTAAAGTGCTGATTGAACTTAATATGAGTAAACCAGCTAGGACTGGCATTGTGGTATAGCAGGTAAAGCCACCACCTGTGGTGCCAGCATCCCATATGGGTACCGGTTTGAGTCCTAGCTGCTTCAGTTCTGATGCAGCTGATATACCTGGGAAAGCAGTGGAAGATGTCCCAAGTACTTGGTCCCCTGCACCCACATGGGAAACCCAGAAAAAGCTCTTGGCTTCAGATCAGCCCAGCTCTGGCTGTTGCAACAGCCATTTGGGGATTCAACAGTGGATGGAAGATCTTTGTCTATCCCTCTCTGTAACTCTGCCTTTCAAATAAAAGAATACATCTTTTAAAAACCAGCTATAAGAAGACATTTGAGATACTTGATGAAATTTGATTGGTTTTAGACCATATTTTGACATCCCAAGTGGTATCTTATCCATTCCACCCTGACAATAATCTTGATAATTGTTGAATCTCTAAGATGAGTATATGGAAGTCATTTTACTATTTCTACTTTGTATTTAAAGATGTTCATGAAGAAAAAGAACATAGAGGGAGGGTGTTTTGTTCTGGTGGTTAAGATGCTAGTTGGGCTACCTGCATTCCATATCAGATTAACTAGGTTTGAGTTCTGACTCCAGGTTTCTGCTAATACAAGCCCAGAGTGGAAGTGGTGATAGCTCAAGTAATTGGGTTCCTCCCACTGATGTGAGATTCAGTTCCTGCCTCTTGGGTTCAGCCCCAGCTGAGGTGCATTTGGGGACTGAAGCAGCAGAAGGGAGATCTCTTTCTCTCAGATAGATAAATATTCAAAAAAGAAAAAGGTTTAAAATCTGATTGCATTTTGATTTTACTGCTCTTTAACAGCTTAGAGTTTGAAAAACACTGCATTTCAGCATGTCAATATAAATATAGACAAGATACCAGGTAGACTGATTTATTGGACGTATCTCAGGACTGGATACAGGAACATATTGTTGATTGCCTTCTTCCC